ATGATAAATGATGAATGATAAAGATAAAATATAAAAGTGCTCAGGCTCTAAAAAGCAGGACTTACAAAGAGATCAATAAAAAAAAATTCTTGTTTTAAACACAATAAATAACCACTAGAATAAAAATTTAGGTAAAAACAAGAAACATCTGTGCCATATTGCTACAACTTATTCATCTGAATGATAGGTACTGGAACAAAGCTATTTTTATACCACGTTCTACATTTTGGGACAATAAACCTCCAGAAAAAAGGAGCTGTTCCCGGGCAACAGCAAACCGACCTTGCGAGGCAGCTGGATTCGCCAAATAGCGACTTCCACATCAACAGTAGACAGAAATAAAGTGGACTGTACACTAGCTAGTGAACATTTAGCACCTAAAGAGCCAGAAACATAACTCCAAATTAATCCTAATGTTCAATGCTCCATATCTGCTTGATGTGTAAATTTCAACTTAAAATCTAACAATATGTCAGTATTTTTTTTTTGCCGTTTCTGCTGCCCCCAAGTGCCCAAAAATTAACTTATTGCAGATTTAATTATGCAAGCTATTATAGCTCTCATCACCTCTGCAAGTTACGCAGATGTTGTTTGAAGTATTACTGTGCTAAAATACTATAATGACCACACTATTAATGCATTACAAAGTACATTAGCCAGAGCCAGAGTTTCTCATAGTTACAGCTGGGTCGACTGCATATGTGCCGTTATTTTTGACTGACAGGTGAGCAATCACGATAGCATAAATGGGACAAGTTGAACTCTCCTCATTCTTCTTTATACAGACAGTTATTTCTTATCAGCTAGAATGTGTCATGGTCTACTTTGGGTGTGCTTAACTTCCCCTGACCTTTAAAAGGGCTGATTATTTCCATCCACAATCTTCACTCGGCAATGCGCTGCCAGCACAAAAGGATATTAGGCCCAGACCTGCTGGTCTGATAATTCCAGCTCTCAGTATGGAACTAAGGGAAACCAAACCACAATGCCCTGCCACTCTATTATCATTTCACTGCCTTCACCTTCACCTTCACCATTGGTATTCTATCACCTTTCACCTCAGTGTATGCAGCTTTTTCAGGAGCTGAAGGGTTCTCTGTGTGTTCTATTTTATTACATCTTAAAAGTACTTTGTATCCATGGTAATTAACTTCTCCTTTATGCATCACCCTCCCGGGACAAACTATACAGCTTTGTATAGCCCAGAGTACTTTGTAGCTGTGTAAATCTCCTCGGTGCTGGGAAACTCCCATTCTTCAAGCTCCCCCTGACAGTGCAATTTGATAGCAATAGAGGGAATCCAAAGGGAACCAACAGGTCTAAATGTTTAATAGATTGTTATTTTACATGTGGTAATCTCGTAATCACAGGTTTGAGGGGGTCACATCTATCACCCAAATGAAAGTCTTATTGTCCTGCTTCCTTTCACCTCAGGAGGAAATGTGAACCAGATAAATGATGGCCTTGTTTCAAGAGAGGCTCAATCTGTTGCCAACGATTTGTGGCCAACAAAGTAATTTCGATACCGTTCTTTGTATTGATAGATGGGGGCTAAATTTAATAAAGAGCCAATTTACTCGTAAGGGGTATGGGAATGGGACTGCACTTATCTTCCCTATTTTTTCTGTCCTTACCTTCATTCTCCAATCCAGCTCAAAATTAGACGGAAAGAAAAGGACAAACAGCACAAAGGGTGATATTTTTGACAAAGCTTTCTTAACTACCACCATTACTCTTCGATGCCTATAATCCCAGTGAGCTGTTTCATCACTTACAGTATTGAGAGAGGTTAAGTTACTGTGTCAATGTGACATGTATTTGACTTTGTGAGTTCATTTTTTGCTAGTGGCGTTGAATTTTAAAGATCACCTCCAGACATGTATTAAGACACATGTACAAATAATAATCTGCTTTGAACAATAATGTGTGCCTGATTTAATCCCTAAATCCTTCATTTCCAGATTAATATTCAAATTTCATTCATGTTTTCCTGCTGGACACAAGATGTGTCCTACTTCACTGTAAAGTCCATTCTCAGTGTATATGCACTGATGGCTTTAAGTTCCTACATCACACTTGTACAAGTTGCATGCTGCCAATGTGATCCAAATCATGCTTGTAGGCCCCACCCCAATTTTAAATGAGCACAGAAAAACTTTCCACTTTCAGCAGATGAATGTGAAAACATCCTTCTAGTGTCAAAAATAATTTTTTCTTACAGTTCCTACAGTTGGACCTGGTCCATGCAACTCGTACCAGTGTGATGCAGAAACTTGAAGCCACTAGCGCACACACACTGAGAATGGAAGTAGGAAACATTGTGTGACCAGCAGGAAAACTAGAAAACTAAACTTTGAATAGTCATCGATTATGGAATTCTTAAAGAGAGTAGATGCCTTTTTAAGGATTTTAAGAAAGACTTTATGCAGAAAAAACACACATTATTGTTCCAAGCTGACTATTTGTATATATGTCCATGAATATACATATGTACACCATCTCATTGTAGTTCATATACACATGTGCATTCCCTCTATTTTGTCAGGGAGAATACAAATAACTGAATAAACTGAAGTTCCTGTGCCACAGTAAACTTCCTCAAGAACCTGCATTAATGCTGAGCCCCAGAACTGGACAGGAGGCCCTGCAGCTTAAATACACTTTTTTTTTTATGTCCATTCACTGGATGTGTCTTTCCACTTACTGTTACTGTTGTCTGACAAGAAACAGTATGCTCCTGTGACCACAGGGTGGCAAAGGTACAAATTAACTTCAGAGATGAAAAAAAGGAGACTGCGCCTCACCGGGGAACCCCGACAGGTGTTTGCACAAAGACTTAAGAACTAATCACTGGCAGATTTGTAAAAAAAAAAGAGAGGTGAAGTAGATTATTCATGAGCACATGGCTCAAAAAGCTGGGGTAAATTGAGTGTGGTTGGGAAGAGACTTCAGCCGCATTAGAGGGATTCTGAGCAAGATGCCATCCGTTCAGGGAACAATGCTTTATTGATCGGGTGACTTGGATGCGAAAATAATAATTGTCCTGAAAGTGACAGAATTAGAAGGAATCCAGCCTTGATTAAACTACCAAATTCTATTTTCCACTTCAGTGGAGGAGCTCTCAGTATGCCAAACTGAGTCTCAGAGTGCTGTTTGTATGCGTTTATGCCTATGTCTACATTTATATGATGTTTGCTTTCATGCAAAACCGTGCACTCATGCACGTGTTGTATAATAACAGATGTGTACCATTGATTCCGGACTCAGAGATCTGGAGTGTAAGCCTGTGCTGCACTGCTGCCACCTAAAGACAGAGTGTGAATCAGCCACTGTTTGATCAGCAATCATACAGCACACTGTACATAACACACAATCGCAGTCATTGTATTAACGTTATTCCTGTCTTCTTTATTTATTACATGTCTAACGTAAATTAACACATTTTACACTACATAATCTCTGCTCGCCTTATTAGTGCAATATAGCATGAGCTTCATAAAATACTCTGCAAACAGAAATTATACTCGACTTTTCTTGTTACTGAACGTCCTTTGGTGAAGTCAGTTCAAAGAGTTTCACTTGGTTCGACAGTATTTATTTTCACGCTCAAAACCATCCCATATTTGTCACATCCACCAGACCAAAAGTGTTTAAGTTCTTTTGCTGGCGGTCTCACACTCTTAAAAAGGATGTCGTTTGAACTGATGTGTCTTCCTCAGCAAGACGTTTGCATTACTTTCCAAAACATGATACAGTATGTCAGCAACGGCATATGTTGTGTTAAAATTAACATCATTTAACATATGTTGTATTCAAAATCAGACACACAGATGTGTTAAAAATTACATCTTTTGTAAGAGAACACTCCTCAACGCTTCTCAAAGCGAGCCATCTGTCACCAAAACCAGACACGGCAGGGGTTTCTTTGCTAAACAGGACAAAGGCGACTGTTAGCACAGATGCTGTCAGCATAATGGCATAGTTGTCAAAAAAAAAAAAACATCTGAAAGCTGCTGTCTTAGACTGATGTGCCATATGGACAAAATATATTCTTTAGAACTGTGTGTTGGTGGTAAAATATTTAGTTGGTCACATTTATTCAGTAAGAACATCAAATAAAAAGTTCCAAATGGTAATCATCAATGACTTCAGGAAGAAAGCCACATAATGAGAAATATTGTCAAAGGTTTGTCAAACACATGGCTGAACATGTCAGATTTAAAAAAGAGAATTGTGAATTATGATCTGTGAAATTTGACATTCGTAGCCATTTAACACATTATGTTGTACAAAGAAAACTGATAAAAACATGCTGATTGACTTGATTATTCGCTAACAGGGAACATTTATTTTGTCTGGCATATGTTCACAGTTGGGATGTCTAGAGGGGGATGTGTTTTAAAAGTCGTCTGTCTTCTGAGTAAACCTTTGTCCAAGATGTATTACAGCACGTATAATGCTGTAGCTGACAATATGCCTCAGGTCCAATATTTTGTGCTATCTGACAGATGCCGTTGAATTTTTCATGTCTCATATTGGTGTAAGCCACACAGGTGAACATCATTGTTTTACCCCACAGCCACTGAGTAAATATTCATATTATTATAAGTACAATTAAAAAGTAATTGTCACAATACTTTTCACTGTAGGTTTTCACATACAAGGAATTTGGTAAATTAAAATCAGAAAGAAACAAGAAACATAGAAACATATTAATAATTTAATTGAAAACAATATCTACAATATGACTGTTATTTAAATAAATGAATGAAGAGTTGTACAGGAATGTGCAAAATACTATCCAGGGAAGTTAGCAGTGTAAAACATAATGATATTTAATATTATAATATATGTTTACAGTTCAACAACAACAACAAAAACTACAGACAAAGGTAAGCTCAAAGGTCAATATAAGAATATCAAAATAAGAACAATTCTAAATCTATTAGCTAGAGTTGAAGGACAAAGCGTGAAGCGGAACCTTCGTTACAGTTGTAAAGGGGAAAGAAAACAGCGTGGGGCGGATGTGGGCGTGGTGGACGCTTCCTGTTTTGAAGGCGTCTGAGTGAGTTTCTCTTTTAATTTCTCTTAAATAATTCCCCTCAAAACACTTTAATTCATCATTGATCGAGTAACGACTGAGGCATTTAGCCGGCAGTGCGAGCATTCAACATAACTGCTGTTCTTTATAACACAAATGACTTCCAGTTAACTGTCAGCCAGCCAGATGTAACGCTATCTATCTGATGTTAGTAATAGCGTTAATAGTGTAATGTCAGCTGAACGGGACAGATAACGCAGAGCCAGCTGGTCTGACATGACGTTGACACTTTTTGTTTGTGTTTTCTTGTTTGTTAGCTGTTGTTTTGCAGATCTTGGATGAACTGAGCCATGCCTTTCCTCCACGGCTTCAGAAGGATCATTTATGAGTATCAGCCGCTGGTAGATGCTGTCATGTGTGTTGTTGGACTGGAGGAGAGAGATGGTGGTGAAGAGGACAGGTAATACTAAAGCCAGTGTGTTCTTTTATTGGTTGGTTGTGTGCACACTTTCATTTCCAGTATGTTTAACCTTAGTATGCATAAAGCACTGCGACAATACAAATATGGGAATATTCAGTATTGAGATGAAAAATGGATCAAGGCGCAAAGACATCAGTTTCACTCCAAAAAAGGACATACGCCTTGTTTTGTTTGTCCCCTACCTCAGAAATACATTTTTACAGTTTGTTAAAAACAATCGTGAGAAAATCGTATCGTGAATTTTATCGAATGGTGAGTTAAGAGCCTCCTTATATCCCTAATTGGCCGAATAAAATATTTATAATTTTCTTTTTTGTTGAATAACCTGAAAGTTATATGAGCGTTTTTTATCTACAGAGTCCAGAAACCAAACACCGACTCTAGACAGGGCCTTTAAAACGCTGAGCTGTGTTCAAATAGTTTCAATCTGCAGCTTCTCCGCTTTATGCGTGTAAATCCTACACACTGGTGCTTTAAAGTTCAGTTATCTGTAGCAGTATGTTGTATCCAAGTTATGGTATAATAACCGCTGGCAGTATAGAATGCATTTGACATTTGACAGAAACACTGGTGGTGTTTCATACAGTTTAAATAAAACAGTGCGGCTCTCCTTCACTCTTGTGTTCAGAGTCCGAAGCCCTGAGGATAAGTCTGGTCTTTGTAGCTCTCTGGTGCAGCTTCTGGAGCGGGAGTCCCAGTCAGAAGTGTTTGTGGAGGGCATCAGCTATGCTCTGTTTAGGGTGGCAGAGCGGGGACTCGTGTACGCAGCTGAAATCCTTCTACGCTACGGAGCTGATCTCAACTTTGAAGGTGAGAAATAATCATTAGTGAATCTGTACAAACTTTTCCATAAAGTACTGTACTGTAGTACTGGTTACTCTGGCTATTGCACTCAGTCCCACTTGTCCTATGCATACTGTCCATCATGCATAATGCAGCATTTCTGTTACTCAGAGTCTACAAGGATTCGTTTGTTAAGTCAGTTTTATGCTCATTTGAGCAAACAGTTTAGATTATTTTAAGTTAATTTTGTTCCCATGGCAAATTAAGTGCAGTACAATCACTAGAAATGTGTTCAGTGCCTCAGTTTGAATTATACTTATTAATTAGTGGTTTTATTTGGTCACTATTCCCCAGTATGTAGGGCTGTTTTCAGGAGGGGTATTCACACTCTGGAGATGATTACAAAGAGAGAAATATATTTTTGCTGTGTTGACACGTAACTATCCCTCTAGCATCCATCTTGCTCCATTTTTAATGTGTGATCGTGGGTTATATAAATTCATAAAGACAATTTAGTGACAGAATGTACGAGTGGACCTGCCATTTTCACACTTCACGCCAGGAACTGCATACATAAATTGAGCAAAGTGTCCACATAGACTTGAGAGAACGAGTCTCCCTTTAGCAAAGTGCAGCGCAGCACGTCTCGCTGCTGTGATGAAACCTGCCAGGGCTCATCCTTACTCTGCTGTGGTGACCTCTGGCGGTAGCAAGAATGTTCTTCCCCAGGGACATAATTAGGGGATCCTGGCAGAGGCTGCTTCATTCATCCTTTTACATTTCTTGAATGCCTCTTTCCAGAAAATTAACACTGACAAATGCTCCCATAGAGCACGCAAAAATTTCCAAGTTCCTCTAAATATTTGCCATCATTTGCCTTTCCTCATCCTTTGCCTGTCTAAGAATATGTTAACTCGTGCCAGCTATCAGACAGACAGCGTGCCAGCTATGATATTAGTCCCATACATGCTGCTTACTAATCTGGACACTGATCATGAAATATACATCAAAGAGACTTTGGTCAGTAATGTATAGACACATATAGGCAGTAAATAACGGCTCGGCTTAGGAACAACCTGCCCGAGGAGATGAGGCTTTCAGAATCAGTAACTTCTTTGAAATCACTCCTTAAAACCCATTTTATAGACTTGGCTTCATGAGATGTCGTCATTTTATTTATTTGTTTATTTTTGGTTTTATGGATTTAATGTCTCTTATTTTTGTACATATTTATATGAATTACATTATGTTTTATAATGTCTCCCTCCATCATGTTTTTTCTTCTTAAATTCTGTCTTACATTTGTTTGGCCTCATTGCTTGGATCTCTTTTTAAAAGGTGTTATCTGGATTGCTGCCAGCCACAGGGGGATAGAGAAACACCCAGCAGTTTGAGAAAACACCATCAAACATTCATTCAATTTATATTATTATGTGTTATTCCAAAAATGAAATGATAGCCAATGAATAATCAGTCGAGAATAATAACAATTTATTTTGAACTCTTGCAGAAGGTTTGATAGGCTTTATGTTTTATGGAAGCCAAAGTATGGTTGTGAAGTATTTTACTAGAAAAAAAAGAACATTTGAAGAGTCAGAAGTGTTAAATCATTCATCTTTGCTCACTAAGCCGTACCCTTTCTTACCCTCAGGTGTGCACAAACTGCAGGTTTTCGCTCTTTAACTCTTTAAAATACAAAAATGTGAAATTATTGGTTATCTTATCGGTATTAGCCATGAGAAGCAGGTATCATATTGGATCCACATTGCATCCCTAGAAAATGTAATGTCGTCATTTTGATTAATATAAATATCTGTTTCTCCTCTCCAGACCCGGTGTCTTACTACAATCCTCTGCATATAGCAGTTTTGAGGAACAGGCCAGACATGGTGAGGCTGCTGGTCGGGCACGGAGCAGACATTGAAAAGAGAGACAGGGTGAGGCAGCTTTCTAATATTCATGTCCTCTCTCATTCTTATCGTATCCCTCTTTCTTAGCCTTTCATGTCAATAATCTAAACGTTACTTGGTAGATCCATGAGAGCAGTCCTTTGGATCTGGCCAGCGAGGAGTCAGAGAGGCTCCCCTGCCTGCTGACCCTGCTGGATATGGGTGCCGATGTGAACGCAAGGGATAAACACGGTAAATTCACATTGCCCAGCCTAATTCTTACAGTCACCCTCTGATTCGGAAAACTGATTGCTTTGGTCTGGTCTCCAAAGGAAAAACGCCTTTGCTCCATGCCTTGGCAAGCAGCGACGGACTCACCGTGCACAACACAGAGAACATCCGGCTTCTGCTGCAGAGAGGTAAAACTCCCTTCATCTTCACGTTGCCTGCTTCTCCACGTTTGGTCATTCAAATACTCTCTCTAAGAGGATCAAGGTTAAACCAGTACATTCAGAAACTTGTGTTAGTATGCATACCTGTCCACTTGTATGCATTTTGAGATCAAAGTAAACTGTCAGTGCTTGTCAGACTAAAATATGCACACACAGTTTTTAACGCAACTGAAAATGGAGCAGAACCAATCCAGTGATCCAGGCATGAAGAAAGTGACTGACAAGATTTTTAACTGCTGGGTGTTG